ACGGAGAACACCAACCCAATCACACTTGATGGCGAAACTCTGGAAGAGGTGGAAACATTCAAGTACCTGGGGAGCATCGTTGATAAACAAGGAGGATCGGATGCAGATGTAAAGGCGAGGATTGGCAAAGCAAGGGCAGCATTTTTACAATTGAAGAACATATGGAACTCAAAACAACTCTCAACCAACTTCAAGGTCAGAAGTTTTAATACGAACGTCAAGACAGTCCTACTGTATGGAGCTGAAACGTGGAGAACTACTACAACTATCATCAGGAAGGTACAAGTATTTATAGATAGTTGTCTACGCAAAATACTGAACATCCATTGGCCGGATACTATCAGCAACAGAGTTTTATGGGAGAGGACAAACCAGCTTCCAGCTCAAGAGGAAATTAGGAAAAGACGTTGGAAGTGGATCGGACATACATTAAGGAAATCACCAATGTGCATCACGACTCAACCCCTAACTTGGAATCCGGAAGGGAAGCGGAAAAGAGGAAGACCAAAGAACACACTACGCCGGGAAATAGAAGCCGATATGAAAAGGATGAATAACAACTAGAAAGAACTGGAAAGGAAGGCTCAGGACAGAGTTGGATGGAGAATGCTGGTGAGCGGCCTATGCTCCTCGACGAGGGGTAACAGGCGTAAGTAAGTAAACGCTTTACAGATACATTTATCTTCACATGAGTAAGAAGGCATAAGCGGAGGCTTTATAAGAAAGAGTTTATGTCCAAAGAAAATGAAACAGTATTTTACAATAGAAAGTAACCGATAAAAATGACTGGTATTTATTTGGAAACGTCACATTTCAAAGACTAAGATAAGCCATAATAATAAGTTTGATTTCAGTCAACTACAACGATTACATATTAATTTTTGCAATCCTTTATATTTTATAGCCTTATACAATTTCAAAAAACCATTTTTTCGAACACTACTTATACACCAGTAAGTTGGAATCTGAAGGTTGACATTTTTTAACCATCGACAACTTTTGTAATCAGGTGATTTTTAGTCATTGCCATGTATAATTAAGTTTTATTCTTTTATCGGAATCATGAACCGATCAATGTTGGATCACCATTGAAAGCGTGGAAAGAAAGGATGACTGTTTTGATTTGATTTACTCTGAAGGTTTAATTTTCCCATAAACACTTATAAAAATCCATCACGAAGCATATCGTTACTGAAGACACAGTTATGATTAAGTTTAATAATTTTGTAGAGACTTTACTATTTCAAAATAACTCTCATCATTTGTTGTTCAATGATCATTAGTTCACAATTCAACATTAAAGGACATGAGAGCGTCTTACAAAATACCTTTCAGTGTAACAAAATTTCTAAACAGCCACTAGACTTCATTATAGTCAACACAATTAACTGTATGATTAAAAATTTAAACACTTTTTGCTTCCACTTATTCCTACTGAAAGAAACATCCAAGATACAGCTAAAGACAGATCAAATTATGATAATTAGAAATAGTTAAATTGATATCGTAACTAAGGATTCCCAGAATTGTCCAGTTCAAATCAGACAGAACTGAATGTATTACATTCAGAATTCGAAATAGGCACAGAATAATGTACAAAGAAATTATAAATTACCATAAACACTACAAAACTCCATATTGATTAATGTTGTTACTTCATATCAATATGTTCATGTTTTATTTTGATAATCTCAGTTTACTTACATGTGAAGAGTAAACTTCACGGAACTCTATAAAATGCATTTTTCAAAGTAGAAAAAAAGATTTCCGACAAACAATGAACGTAGTCCTGTTCCCCAATGAATAGATCAATTCACAAGCTAATGATCGAAATTTTCAACAGCAGTAAACATTTCTAACAAACAGATAATGTAATTCTACCCTCTAAATGGTAGATCAAAACAAAGAGAACGAGTTTAAAACAATTTCACACAGAATAGAATGTTTAGTTAAACAAATTTAACGTAATCAATCAATAAATAAAAAACTAAGCGATATCGTGGAGTTGATTAAGATCAAAAATTGTAATTTCAGATGCATTAAAAGATAAACGTAATGTACATGAATTCTGACAGTCAGAGAAGTAATAATACATATTTATAAACTGAAATAAAGCACTGCCATCAAAATGAGAGTACACATGATATGATTCACTTAGCCTACTTGATGATTTCAATTAATACTTTTTATATTTTCTTTTTTTGTTCATACACAATTCAACATTGAATATTTAAGAAAGCAGAATCTGTTTCTTATTTGAAAAAGGAGTATGATGCGCTCCAAGAAAAAAACAGTGAATCATCATCAGTAAATTTGAAATTATAATTAGCGGTGAAGAATCACAGGAATTGTGTAGGTTCTTTACATGACAATTAAAGTAACTAAATGATCAAACTAGTTTTATGATCTCATTCACTATAATAGAAGTTTCATGAATCAATAAAGTAATTTGTATACATTACACTGATTGAAATGAATGAAAAAAGTTTCGAATAAAAAAAATATGTAATGGTGAAATTACTATCAAGTGAAATTTTTAATAATTAGAATTACATTAAGTATTCAATTATGATGTTGTAGTATCAGTTTATATGTTAAGCCCAAATACTTTATTCTAGTTACTGGCCAAGCCAATTCGCCTGTAATGAGTCATATTTTGATCTTGTTCATTATTCGCTTATTAGCCTTGACTATATTTTTATAGGAGTGTATATGTGCACACTTCGTAACTTATTCACCATTCATTTCTGTCTGATTATAAATATTGAGTAATGCTTGCTAATAGTGAGTTGGCTTACCAGCCATCTCCCATGCATGTCATTTTTACTTCGCTCACTAACATATGCTTATGTGTTCACTGCCTTCTAGCCTATGTTATTCGTCAATAAAAGTGTAGTTGCCGCTTCCCTTTGTCTTCTAATATTATACACCGTTCAGATTGATATAATAACGGTTATCGAAGTGAACTATTATTGAAGCACGGGACTACACATATTGGTTAGCCCGAGATGCGAACGCGTAACAAAAATGTATACTCACTTGATATGGCAACTCAAACTGATGTACGTACGTACGAAGTTCTACGTTGTGACTGACTGACTGATATTATACTATTAGCATTATGAATAAAGATTTATTTATTTTTGAAGACTATTCAAGAACTTGTGTTTTCCTAAGGCCTTCTCTCAGTATATATATATATATATATATCGATAAACATATGCATAGGTCTATGGTGTATTATTCTTGTTGATTTGGTGTTTACATTTATTGTTATACCCAATCAATAGAATGATATTTTAAGAGGTTTGTTGTAACTAGGGTCTAATTAATAGTCATAATAAAAATTTTTTTATGAAATTAAAGTCTTGAAGAAGGAAATTGAAATATCAACTAAGTTGTTAATAGTTTGTTTAATATTGAATTACAGATGATGAAAAATTGTTGAATTAATTATAAACGAATCAATTTATGAAATATAACAAACAATAGATTTACACGAATTTCAATTAAATTATGTTCCATGTAAGTGTAATAAAGGGCTATATCACCGAAATGATAATATTAAAGCTTAGATACAAATAAAAGATTTAGTCAGTTCTTTTCTGTATTAATTAGGACGTGAGGTTTTTAAAGATTAGTTCCATTTCGAAATTAGTATTCAGAATAAACTGAAATCAACAAGAGAACCATAAAGAACTATCCAGACGTACTTAATTAATTACGCCTATTACTTCCAATGGAGTATAGGCCACCGACCAGCATTCTTCAACCCACTCTATCCTGGGCCATCCTTTTATTAGTTCTATCAAACTTTTGTTCATTCTTCTCATGTCTGTCTCCATTTCTCAGCATAATGTGCTCTTTGGTCTTCCTCTTCTCCTCTGACCCTCAGGATTCCATGTGAGGGCTTGCCTTGTGACGCAGTTGCGTGATTTCCTCAATGTGTGTCCTATCCACTTCCAGCGCTTCTTCCTCCGCTGGAATTTGGTTTTTTTTCTACCACAGTAGGCTGTTGCTGATAGTGTCTGACCATCGGATTCGAAGTATTTTGCGTAGACAGCTGTTAATAAACACTTGTATCTTCTGGATGGTGGCTTCCGTAGTTCTCCAAATCCAGACGTACCAGACAGCTATTTATTATCCTAATTTCGGATTGTTCAACAGTTTCCACTAATGTCTCGATTATGAATCTAATTTATAGCATACAAGTTTGTTGGCGAACAGGATATGTAATGATATTGTTGTGCCTGAACTCAATAACAAACAATTTTGATTTTGGAATTTGAAAAATTGCCATATTGTGAATTAGAACATCATATATAAGTGAACAATATTGTTTTCAATTAGACCCTCATCAGGCTTTACTGAAATATATAGTAATGTTTATATACATATATGAAGTTATTAAACCAATCAAGGCAGTTTATGAGTTAGGGATAACAGTGGAATAGATTACGTAGTAGGTAAAAAGTACACGATGATAATCTGGTGAGAGATTTACTAGTTGTGATAAGAGTAACAATGGCTTGAATCCATGTTTTATAATGCGAAATAGGTCAGTGACATGAAAAAATATAGATGCTGAAGTAACATTCATAAAAACTATAAAATTATGTAATAAGGAGTGTTCATATAGTTGGGAAATGAAGCGTATATTTGAAAAAAGGGGTGGAGGGTGCAAAAAAAATATAAACGAACAAAGAGTATGAAAAATAATAAAATCTTTTATAAGGGCTAATTCGGCCAAAGATGTGATAAAGCTATTACAAATTTATCATGAAAACAGAGACTTGGATTGTTCGCTCGAATCCCATGGCTTCTTCTCTTTGTAAGAGATAAGATCGAACCTCATAAGGTAAACTAGTAAGAATATGATAGACCACTTTAAATAACCTATTTCTATCTACTTCATGACCGCTATCGATCAAGTGTGAGAGAACGGAGATGCATATCGCCTTGACAATACCTTTCCTAACCACGAAGGTAGGTAATCCCTGTTTATATCCTAATGAAAAGTAAATGAATAGTAACTGATAGGAATTGTTTGTGAACTATTATTACATTATTGAGTAGTTATTAAGTAACCATATTATATGTATATTTATATTCCCTTTATTATAAGCTTTTATTTGACTTATTGGTTACTAACTGTACAAACCTGTGATTAGATGATACAATGGAACTGTCCTAGTGTTCGTATCAAAAACTGTGACTATGGTGTTGGGTGATGGTTGTTTTGAGTTGGAGGTATTCTTCAATTGTAGGAATGTGGTGCTCACTTTTCCGATCCGTGCCTTCACACTTGCACCAGATCCTCCTAATTTATCAACGATAGTATCCAGGTCTGTCAAACCTTCCACCTCTTCCAGAACTTCTCCATCCAGTGTGATTGTGTTGGTGCACTCTGTGGTGTGTTTCATGATCTTGTTATTTCCCTTGTGTGTGTTTATGTCTGCTGTTGTAGAGGCTGCTGCTATATTGTTTGTCTTCACTTGCATTTTTTGTTGTGTATGAGGTAGATGATCTAGGTCATCTGTCACATACATATCATTTGACTGCATCCAAGCTGTTCATTGTATTCCGTGCTTCTTCTTAGATGTGTAGGTCCTCATAATCCACTCAACCACTATGAGAAAGAGAAAGGGTGAGAGTAAGCATCCCTGTGTGAAACCGGTCATCACTCGGAATTTATTTGTGAGTCATCCTCCATGCACGACGTTGGATTGTAGTTTGTCGTGAGAATACCTTAAAACAGTGATTACGGTCTCAGTTACATTGTAATGTTGAAGAAATTTGCATAAGTTTGTCTTGTCCACTGTATCAATTAGTTTTTCATAGTTTAGAAAGCTTATGTTTAGTGACGAGTTACATGCAATTGATTGTTAAACATTGATATGTATTATTGAGATTTGGTCAGCACATTATCTATTGTAAAGGATGCAGCTTAGTGATCTGGAAGTTGTGTGTTTACTGAATCTTTCATTCGGTTCAACAATATTCTGTCGAAGACTTGTGACAGCCTTCTGGGGCACACCACAGTTTGAAAGAAGTTTCCATAATGTTTGCCCATTCACAATGTTAAATACTTTTTGTTCAATGGTTATCTAATATTTATTGGGACCAAAATAGAATTTTATGATAAAAATTTTGTACAAATCATAGTGAAATGCCTTCCATTTGTATGTAAGGTTTTTACTAGTGTAGTGAACGAGAGAAAAAGTGGGAACAATCGAATATATAGGAACACGAAATTGCAGAATTTCTCACTAAAATCTGAAAATCATACAGTAAATACTTTATTTGTAAAATATCAATCCATTGTCTCAAACTTGACTGTTGTATTTACGTGACAAACTGAAACCTTATAATTTTATTAATTTAGTCAATACTAAATAAAATGAACTAATGATAGGAGCTCTTGAGAATTCCTTGGAAAGTCTTTGGAAGCTGAGAAAAGGTTGAAAAATATTTCATTAGCATTCAATATAGATTTATGTAAGAGTTCTAGGAAAATAATTGATTATATATTATCTTGACGAACTGATCTTTGTATGTTCTCAGGAATCCATGGATTGTCAAAATCACAGAAAATTATACATATCCTTGTTTTCTGTAACTAGATTAACTTTGGAAGCAAACCTTCGTTCAATACTTTCACCCTTCTGTCTTCTATTCGCGGTTCAAGTAGAGGAAACCATTGGAAAATCATAAAGTTCTCAGAAGTGCATTCCAAGACGTCGAATATCAAATGTTTCAGTTAATAAATTGTATCGAATGTTATCTTGAATAGATCCAAGTACGTATTTGTTGTATCCCCTGGCGAATTATGAATCATAAATCTGATGTCCATTTATGGACAAATGTAATACGCCTATTCCTATTGGATAGTTGTTAAATGAGTAACCTAAATCTGATGTCTATTTATGGACAAATACAATATGCCCATTCCCTATTGGATAGTTGTTAAATAAGTGACCTAATCGTTTCCGTGTTCCTCTTATCACAACCTTTGTTTTGACCTTGGAACTATTATTATTGATTACTTTCCCCCTAGCTACAGCCACATTGGCCAATTACTGTACAAATGTTATTTTTCTATTTTTTGGTATAATTGGGTCTGTTTGGTTAGTATATATAACCCAGTGTGCTTGTGAATAATGATTCATATTTCCGAGGCTGTTATTTGTGTTCTGGACTCAACTGGCTGGGCTAGGCAGTTAGGAAGGACCGAATAGCAATCAAGACTGCTCGTACGTATTTTCTGTATCATTGCACGTTTCATATACAATAACGATTGTTATACGAGTCATAACAGTATTGAATTATATTGCTCATGTTTACTGTATGACAACAAACTTACTTGACTGGGTATAGTAGTGTACTTTGTTTGATAAATACCAGTTTGTAGATTAAGGATATACCATATATTCATTGATAACAGTCAGATTAAATAAAAATATGAATATGAATCTGACTAGTAAAATGTAAATATTTATATTGATGAAACATCAGAAAAATCAATTATCACGAAACTGATTGGTCCTGGGTTCGAATCTCGCCAGGCGAGATCATGGATGCGCACTGCTGAGGAGTTCCACGATAGGACAAAACGGCCGTCCGGTGCTTCCAGGTTTTCTATGGTGGTCTAGCTTCAACTGATTCATGATCTCAACTATTAAAATTAATATCACGTAGGTGTAAATTTAACACATTAACCAAACAGGATCCAAGGAACAACTTGATGGTTAGATCTTAAAATAAACAATAAGGTAATTATAATGTAAATCACGGAAAAAGACCACTGTGAAGGTTAATAAAATAAAGCACTTAACGTTATGAAAACCTTAATAAATCTCCCTCAAATTAAGGCAAGAAGATGTATTCAATCATATATTTTAAACCTCTCCATAATACCGATCTAATTGACTAATTGCTTAAATGAACAGTAAATTCAGTAGGATTTTAGGAATCTATGGTCATTTCTAAATACAATGATAATAATAATAAATTTACATCAATAATCGTCAAATTTCTAACGAATAATATAACAAGAAATGCTTGTTGAGTGTATAAACGATATTGAACGTCAAGGTTATACCTGAATATTCAATATCCAATATTTCATTAGACAAACTAGTTCAAATTATTTCAGGCGGGAATATAATCTAAATCAACATTATCAAACAATATATATGTGATGTTTAAAGTACAAAATCACACTAGACTAGTGTCGGATTATATCCAGTTTGTTTATATTAATGTCCTAAGAAAACTTGATGAGACAAATGGTTAACCATGTGAAAAATGTATGTGAATAATTATTTGTATATAATGGTAATTAGAAAACAATGAATTAATTTTGTTTTTGTTTATATTTAAGGAAAATTGATAGTTTATATATAACTGGAACAATCAACGAATTTTTCATCAGTGTTGTTCAAAACACAATGTCTATACTAATTTTGTAATGGTCAAATAATGTGATTGTTTTGCTCGTTCAGTCGAAGCTGTAATCACAGCTACATGGATTTTCTTGAGAACGTATAGATAGAGCTATTATGAGTTTAGAATCATTACACACACAGGCTAATAATATTGATGAAGTTCTAGCCTTAGCTATGTGGTGTATGCTACTTATATCTACATAAGTAGTATATAACACTAATCAGAAGGGGAAGGGCCTGGCAGCAGAAAGTTATGAAGATCGAATAGCAGAGAGCGGGAGCAGAAATCAATTGTTGTGGAGATGAAGGGAAGATGAAGTTTGAGACAGTTGATGTAGGATTCGCAAATGAAGTATGAAAGGTATGGTTTTCACATTTAATGAAAGAACTGTGTAATTTTGCGTTACGATATATCGGTTGTCCCCGCCTGTGTTCCTTTTCATTACGGTCACATCTGAGGGATTAAGTTTAAATGACTTCTCTAAATAAAATGTATAGCGTTATTATCAAACTTCACAATAAAAACGGAGAAGGAAGTTTGAAAAAAATCCCTAACATACCACTAACCACAAATATCACCAGGATGGAGACTTCTTTAACAATATAAACACTAGTAAAGTAGCAACTAATTTATCAGAGGAAGTCCTAGATAGCTATGAATCATTATTACATTAAAGGAGTTAAAATCATAACATGAATTGACCATTTTTGAAATTATAACGTCAAAGGAAGCAGGTTGGAAATTCCTTTCTCAATAGGTAAGTGTTATGAGGAAGAAATTTTCATCTAGGTTATTATACCGAAATCCTCACATTTCTAACTTATCTAAGGATGAAATATACGTATTCAAACAATTATGGGAATATAAAACTATTGTTATTGAGAAGGCAGATGAAGGAACTATGACAGTCGTAATAACTAAAATGAATCATGAGAAGCTAAAAAAAATATCCAACATGGGATTTAAGAGATCAAAGCCATGAAAGAACATGCTACACTCAACAAAACTAGGGCTAAAACCAGCGAGCTTTATAAATGACTGAAACAAAACTAGGACCATCTTTATGGTCTATATTATTACCAAAAATCTGTAATCATTGTAGATTTTATGAACTATCAAAGATTTATAAGGATAATATACAACATAGAGAAATAGCTGACTTTACGAAATCAAAATATAAAATCTGGCGATATACCTAGCTACAGTCCTTAAACCATACGTAAAATCGTAAATCATGAGACTGAAAATTCATTTGAGTTCAAGAACAAGATCAGTGCAATCAATAGCAAAGAAGATCGAATACTGACAAGTGTTGATGTATCTTCTTTATTAGCGAATTCATTCATTGAACAAGCGCTAGATATTATTGATGAATACTAAGATAACACGTTAACAAATTTATTCATGCGCGCTCTAGAAAATCATCCGATTATGAGAGGTAGGTGTCCATCCAAAATCTAGTTACATGTAGATGACATTTCTGCTGTAATCACACGGGATGGATAACAGTAAATGTTAAAACTGGTTAACAACATGTCGAATAGAATGAAACAGATCAAAGAAATCGAACCTGTGGACCATGAACTAACATTTCTCGATTGTTTTATTGAAAGAAGACATAAAAATAGTGTAAAACCTAATATATTTGGGAAATGAATACAGTGTGAGAGATATCGAGGTTGAAAATCACCACACTTTTTTTAAAGGTCATAATTACTAGAGATCTGTTATATGAAAGTAATAACGATGTTATAGAAACAGAAGCTAAACAAATTGAAGGAAATTAGTCTTATCTACACTTAGGGCATATAATTACCCTAGAAGTATCTGTAAAAGGATTATTAAAAATGAAAAGAAAAACAAATTAGAACTCGTTGAGTATTGCTTGTTTGAATCTTCCCATCGATTTGTTAGGACTGCAACTGGTCAGTCTCTAATTGGCATATGTGCATACTGTGCGTATTGCCTCAATTCACAAGCATGGTAAGCAGAGATGGATAGTGGCTAGAACATTTACCGAAAAAGCGGACAAACAGAATAGTCACTGAAAATTGTAAATTCAAAAGAAATAAAAAGGATTTTATATAAACATGTTGTGAAAGCAAATTATAGAGTTAGTAATACCGATAGATAGGAATTACTGAAAGTAAAAGCTAGTATAATAAAATAGGAACAATAAGATTGTGTCTATACAATCAAGTATTATGA